GAGTTGTGGTGCCCAGCACACTGGCACCGCATCATGCAACCCGCTGGTCCACCAGGCGGTCTGTCAACAGTCCTCACTGCTGGTCACGGCAGAATTTCAGCCACAGACTAGCTCTGCCTGCTGTACAGCCTTTCCTCTTACCAGAGGTTGTGATTTCCAGGGTTTCAGTTGGCCACTGTCTGAAAATATTAAGTGGAAAATTCCAGAAATGATTCTTTTCTGAGTAGCATGGCAAAATTTCACACTCCCTTGCTCTGTCCTGCTCATTTGGGATGTGAATTGTCCCTTCGTCCAGAGTATCCATATAGTATATGCTACCTATCTGTCAGTACTTGGGAGCTGTCTTGGTTATCAAAGTAACCATGTTGGTATGTAGGGGATGTCAAAGAGAAGCCAGGAAGTGCTTCCTTGAGGCAGAAAGGTGAATGTTTTTGACTTAAGCAAAGGAAAAAAATGAATATGAGGTTGCAAAGATCTACCATAAATTGTTAATCTCTTACTGTGTCTGATTTATAAACTGCACCAGTTATGTGTCCACAGGAAAAACAGTAAAGCTAAAGGGAATGTAGGGAGGAAAGGAAAAGGGGAAGCACTGGGGAAAGAAATGGAGCAAGTTATATTCATGTAACATAATAATGTATTCATATGTTGCCATGAACCCCATTATTATGTATGATTATAATGTGCTAATAAAAACCAGGAGAGCTAGAGTTTGGTACTATCTGAGGTTTCAGGCTCCACCAGGGGTCTTGAACATATCCCTTACAGATAAGGGGATGCTGTATGGTATTTCACAGTCAGACGAAGCCAGCCAGGGAGGGGTCATCCTGTCCTGGTACCCCAGCACATTCACTGTGGGGCCATAGGGAAACTCTTCATTTCCCCACCCAGAAGGCCACCCTCTCCTAGATGCAGCCAGGGACCTGCCCTCCTTGTGCCCTGGTCTATGGTTCTCCCTCCTGAGGAAAGCCCTTGTGTCCAGGTCCTTCCTCTATGGACACTAGCCCCCTGAGCCCAAGACAGATTCTTTCTCCTCTCAAGGAGTGGGGTTGGGGGAATTGAATGATTTCAAAGCCAGAAAAGTCAGATTCTTTTGGAGCCCAAACATGAGCTCTGTGAGGCCAGGGGCCTTGTAAGATGTAGTTAGGAGGATGGGATTTTGAGCTGCAGTGTTACGAGGGGTCCCAGAAGCCCCCATATCTATTTTCCCCCCAAAGCAGAAGCTATGTTTCACATAGCTCGAAACATCAGAAGTGTATTCTCTTAACTCCCAAGGCCAGAATTTGATATCAAGGTATTGGCAGGCTGTGTCCTCAACTGGGGTTCATCTGGGGCTCCCCCAAGTTCATCTAAGTTGTTGGCATAATTCAGCTCCTTATGGCAGTAGGGCTGAGGGATTTCTAGCTACCCTGGATGTCAGGAAGTGTTTGCTTGAGGTAGAAAGGTGAATGTTTTTTACTTAAGCAAAGGAAAAAATAGATATGAGGTTGCAAAGATCTACCATAAATTGTTAATCTCTTACTGTGCCTGATTTATAAACTTCACCAGTTATGTGTCCACAGGAAAAACAGTAGCCTAAAGGGAATGGGGGGTGGTGTCTGTGTAGGGTGTCCTGACTCCAGAACCTCCCTGGTCCCATGATCTACAACATGAAGTGTGCGAGAGCCAAAGGCAGTTGGGAATGGATTCCCCACACATGGAAAGGACTGAGGTGAGGTGAGGCAAAGAGAGCTCAGAGACTAAACCCCTCATGTCTCCATCTCCTCCCCACTTTTTCCTCTGTTGGGATTGATGTAGCCATGAGGCAACCTACACCTCTGACCAGTGAACCAAGCATGATGTCCTCCTTTAAACCAGCCTGCGTGCTGGGCACGATTCCGGGGCCCACAATTCCTCTGTCTCTTGCTGACTTCACAGCCGTAAACACATCTACCACAACATAAACCATTAAATTAAAAACATGCCTGACATGTGGAACAAATCCTGACGTCTCTGTGCACAGGCTATGCATTTACTGTCTTTTCTCACTGCGAGTCGACAAAGCAGGAAAGCCCCTCCTCTCCCTGGCCTGGAAGTTGCTGTGGCTGCTGAAATCACTCTGCCCGGGAGCTCAAAGCCAGCAATGCCCTTGGAGGTGATGAAGCACCAACTGCCTCCTCAGCAGAGATGAAGGCACTAAGGGGTGGTCCCACTTATGGCTGCACTGTGTCCTTCGTTTCCTGCTGACACCATCATGGGAGCAGGGGGTGTCTGGGAGCCTGCCAGCTCTGAGCAGCTCCTGGAACAGGAGCAGCCTTCAGGAAGAAAGTTTACCACATCTCCGTCAGCCTCTGAAGCCACAAGAGGAGGACAGGAGGAACTGCGGACAAGTGGCCCACACAAGCTGGGTCTGGGTCAGGGGCTTTGCCTAGTTGGGTCAACTAGTCTTCCGAACTGTACATGGGAGGCAGGGACATCTCCACATTACAGATGCAGAAACAGATGTTCAGAGAGAAGTAACTTCCTGGGGTCCACAGTCCATGTGGCACAGCTAGCATTAAAGAAAAAGGCCTGATATACACAGGAGAGCCTCGGGTTTTTGAGAAGGCTATAGCAGTAGAAACACAGTCAGTTTGGGCTGAAAAGGTACAGCGGCAGGACCAAGTCAAAAAGGGGTGGTGCAAGTGAGAGTGGCAGCCAGAGCACCGCCTAGGTGGAAGAAACACAGAGACCCAGAGGTTCTAGCCTGGTGTCCACAGCTCTTATGAGTTATCAACCCATCACAAACTAAGTGCTGGTGAAAGGTTCTGCAGATGTCATCAAGGTCCTGGATGAGTGGATCAGAGACAGGAGAGTCCCAGTGGGACTTGCGTTGTCACACCAGCCCCTTTAAGACCAAAGTGTTCTCCCAGGTGGTTGCAGGAGAGACCGAGGTCTGCAGCAGCAGGAGGAAGATTTGTGCTGCTGCTAGTGAAAAGACAAAGGGACAAGGGTCGAGGACATCCATGGTAGCGGCAGGGGATACCTCAGCCCTACTGCCACAAGGAGCTGAATTATGCCAACAACCTAGATGAACTTGGGGGAGCCCCAGATGAGCCCCAATTGAGGACATAGCCTGCCAACCCCTTGATATCAAATCCCGGCCTAGAACCCATTTCTGTTGTTTCAAGCTCTGCAATTTGTGGTACTTGTCAAGGTCACCCTGGGAAGTGAATACAGAAGTGGTGAGTGGCTGTAACAAATGTATAAACAAAGTGGCTCTGGAACTAGGAAGATGAAAAAATGGAGACACATGATGGAAAAAGTCTAGGCTACCTTGAGCAGACTGTTGGTAGAAACATAGATGTTAAAGACTCTGCCAGTGCCTTCAAAAGGAAATGAGGAATATGTTATTGGAAACTGGAGGAAACTTGTTATAAACGGTAAAGCAGTTGATTGAAATGTGTTCTCCTGTTGAGTGGAAAGCAGAACTCATAAAACATATACCTGAGGAGATTTCTATGCAAAGGGTTGAAGGTGTGGCCTGGTTTCTCCTTGTGCTGTTTATAGCAAAATACAAAGGAAAGAGATAAATCAAGGACAGAACTATTAGGAAAAACAAGCGAAAATAGCACTTAACAACTTGGAGGAATTCTCAGCCTGTCAGGGAGCAAAGTTGCTAAATTAGGATATTCACTATTAATAAAATGCTCTGGAGAGAAGGCCAGGGTGGCTGGACAAATGTGGTGATTAGTTGTGGCTCATGGTGTACGCAGCCATCTCAACAGAAGCAGTAAGAAAGATGGCGCTTCCTGGGAAAGGGCTGTAAAGAACTTCTTGTCTAATGACATTAGTGCCCATGATATGCACAGGAGACCTACAAGAGATTTGAGAATGTTTTATCATCCAATACACAGGCAGCTTGGACTGAAAGGTACAGACAGGATGAAGCAAAAAAGAAATGTTGGATTTCCAGAATCCTACAGAAAGGAGAACAGGCTGATAGAGCTGGTGGGCTGTGGACAAATTCTATCCTTAAAGAAGGAGAAAGAATGACTCCAAGAGTGGAATTTGGGGCCCAGAGGATTATTTTCAAGGCCTTGAAACCTGAAGAAATTTGCTCTGCTGATTTTTGGACATTGCTTGGGATGGATGACTCCTCCCTCCCTGCCTCCTCCTCTTCCTCTTTCTTCCTTCTCTTACTTTAAAAGCAGTTGTAGGTTCACAAAATCTGAGTGGAAGATTCAGAGTTCTTATATACCCTGTTGCTATCACATCCACACAGCTTCTCCCAGTGTTAAAACAGATCTTCCATTAAGCAGTACATTGGGTACAGTCAGTGAGCCCACATTACATTGGGGTTCATCCTAGTGTTTTTACTCTTTGGGTTTTGACCAATGTGTAGTACTGTATTGCCCTAAAACCCCTCTGTGCTCCCTCTCTTTCCCACAACTCCTGGAAATCACCCATCTTATGTTCCCCTAGTTTTCTTTTCCACAATGTCATGGAGTTAGAATCACACCTGATGAAGCCTTTTCAGGTCGACCTCTTTCCCTTAGGCTCTTCCATGTTTTTTCTTGGTTTAACAAATCCTTTCTTTTGAGGGATGATTAATATTGCATTGTCTGAATGTACGCAGTTCATCCATTTGCCTACTGAAGGATATCTCAGTGGCAATTATGAAGAATGTGCATGCACAGGTTTTGTGTGGATATTAAGTGTTCAATTCATTTGGGTAATCACCAAAGAGCATAATTTCTGGATCATAGGGTAAGAGTATAGTTAGTTTTGGAAGAAACTGCCAAACTGTCTTCCAAAGTGACTGTACCATTTTGCATTTTCACCAACAATGAGAATTCCTGATGTCTGCATCCTTACCCACATTTGGTGGTATCTGTTTTGGAATCTGGCTATTAGAATATGGGTGTTGATTCTGTTTCTACTAACAGTCTGTTTAAGGTAGCCTAACTTTTTCCTCATTGCTTTAATCTGCAATTCTTTAACGACATGAAATTAGAGATGCTGAACAACTCTTCATATGCTTATTTGCCATCTGTATATCTTCTTTAATGATGTATGTTAATACACATTTTTAATTACATTTTTCATTCTAATGAGCTTTAAGAATTCTTTGTGTAATATGGATAATAGTTCTTTATCAGACATGTTGTTTGCAAAGACTTTCTCCCAATCTGTGGCTTGTCATCTTTGTCTCAAGTGTCAATTGCAGGGCAGATTGTCAACTCATTCTTTCATGGATCATGGGCTTTGATGATACTCTATCTAAAGAGAAGTTCTTTTTGTTGATTTTATTGTTGTAACAGGGATTAAACCCAGGGTACTTCACCACTGAGCTACCTCCCCAGCCCTTTTTATTTTGAGACAGGGTCTCAAAATAATCATAAGTTACTTAGGGCCTCACTAAGTTGCTGAGTTTGGCTTTGAACTTGCACTCCTCCTGCCTCAGCTTCCCAAGCTGCTGGGATTATGGGCATGCACTACCTCACCCAGCAATTTGAACAGCTTTTAAGAATCCTATCAAGGTAAGTCTACTGACAACATACTCTCAAGTTACTTGTCTGTGGATGTCTTTATTTACGTTTGAAAGATAATTTCACAGAATAAAAATTGGTGGATTTTCCACTTTAAGTATTTTGCTCCATTCTCTTCCTGCTGGCGTGGTTTGGGAGGAAAAATCAGATGTTAGCTACTCTGTAACTATCGAGTGGTTCCCACCCTCTGGCTTCTTTTGAGATTTTTAAAAAATATTTGATTTCCCTTGTTTTATTTTTGAATATACTAGGTATAGGTGTAGTCATTTGGTACTTCTCCTGCTTGCTGTTCTCTGAACCTCCTGGATCTATCTATCTTTGTGTCTTGACATTAACTGGGGGGAAATTCTCAGTTATTACCACTTCAAAATACTTTCTATTCCTTTCTTTATTCTCCTTTTAATATTCTCATATGTGCATGTTATAATTTTGTAATTGTCCCACAAGTCTGGGTATTCCATTTCTGTCTCCTTTTTTTCCTTCAGAGTTTTCTCTTTGCCTTTTATTATGGAAGTTCCTATTCTCATGTCCTCAAGCTCACAGACTCTTTCCAGTCTACTGATGAGCCCATCAAAAGCATCTTGATTTCTGTTAAAAGTCTTTGATTTCTGGCACCCTTTTCACTCTTAGAATATTCATCCTCCTGCTTATATCATCTGTGTTTTTACACGCTGTGCACTTTCTGTGTGTCTTTGTCAGCTTTTTGGCTGCTGTAACTAAAGGATCTGACCAACACAACTGTAGGGGAGGGCTCACAATTTCAGGAGTCTTAGTCCAGAGAAGTCCAGCTTCATTCCTTGGGCTCGAGGTGAGGCAGAACATCATGGCAGGAGAGGGTGGTGGAGGAAAGCAGCTTACGTCATGGTGATCAAGAAGCAGAGAGACTGCACACCCCAAATACAGATGCATACCCACAGCCATGCCCCATTCCCACCTCCTCCAGCTACACCCCTATCATGGGATTAAATCACTGATTGGGTTAAAACTCTTACAACCCAATCATTTCTCCTCTGAACTTTCTTGCATTGTCTCACATGTGAGCTTTTGGAGGACACCCTTAGCATAGCTATCATAGTATTTTTGGAAAGATCTTGGTCTGATAATTTCAAAATTCCTATTATCCAACTCGGTTCTGATGCTAGTTCTGTCTTCAGTCTTTTCTTTTTTTATTGGTGTATTATAATTATACATGATGGTGGGATTCATTATTCCATATTCATACATGCACATGAATGTACTTCTTTTAGTATGTAGTTTTTTTTGTTGTTGTTGTTGTTGGAGGGACATTATGTGCTAGGTAAAAGCAACTGCTGCACACAGGATTTTGGTAATGTGGTGTAAGATGTGGGGGAGGGAACTATTCTATAATGATTAAGTCTTGGTAAGTCAATGTCCCTGGTTCATGGACTTCACAATTGATTGCTTCTCAGCACAGACCCTGCCCCCCAACAACCTCTCAGGTAAGATAGAATGGTTGGAAGGACCTGCAGTTGGATACTTCCCCTTCCCCAGGTCAGCCAGGCCTTTGTAGAATGGTTTCTCTTGAGGTCAGAGCTCAAGAATAGAATGCTCTTGTATACTTCAAAAATGGTTACTTAATATTTTCCCTGGGGAAGCCCCAAAGGGATCTTTCTCCAACATTTACTGTGAGAACATGATTGAGCTGCTAAAGGTGAACTCACAAAAGGCCATGGTCTCCCCTCTTACCATGTCTCCTGCGATTTTATCTTTCAGGATTGAGTACAATGAGGCTCCAACAATTTGTCATTTATGGTGCAGATTTTCCTACCCCAATTTGGCCTCCAGAGAAAATTCTGACATGAGTTTCTGCTCCAGGAAGAGGGAATCTGTCTTTGCTATCTGTTGCCAGCAATCATGGCGGCAGTGTTAGCCCTGTGACCTCATTTCCCTGAGAGATCTAGGAAAAACTGTTCAAACTTTTATTTCTTGTTAGGCAGAGGGATAACGCCAAGGTCCTCAATGCATGATTGCAAAGGGAAAGCCCAGTGGCTCCTTTCTAATTTCTATTTTTTCCTCTCATCATTGCAGTCATATGCCAATTCCACCACTGGATTTTGGTAGCAGACATGTTTCTACAAGTCAGGTTCCACAGGTTCATGGATGAAAGGGTTTTGCCCCAAGGAGAACAAACCCTGCAAATCCTTACTAACAGCAGACTCAGGAGACCACAACCCAGAGTGTGACATTCTGTGGCAGTGAATGGACATGAGAGACCCTACACCACAGCATGAGGTTCTGTGCAGTAAGCACACAGGGGAGACTTCATCCCAGTGATACTGAGGATACCCGCCACTCATAGCATGAGGTCCTGCATCAGGGAGGTGTCAAGGGATGTAGGATACCCTATGTGTCACTCTGATCCGGGTCCTGGTAAATGGATGGGGAGCCATCCAAGCCAGAGACATGGGACAGATGTGCATCCCTAGGTGGTGGGATGCCAGCAGAGATGAGTTCTTTGCTCTTGTTTCAGAGGAAGTTAAGTGGGGCTGGGACTCACTGCCAACGTGTTCTCTAACTGCAGACCACACGCTCTGGGTTGCTGACAGTGAGCTGTACATGCTGCTCATGTGGGGTGCCTGGCAAGAGCGTCTTCTCCATGAGTAACTGTCATGCCTGGCAGCATCCCCAGCACTGCCCTACTAGTGGTCTTCTCACCTGCAACTCCAAGCTCTGGAGCTGGCTTCTCCTTGTCTACCTAGGACCAAAAAGTTTCCTGTCAGGCAGTGTCCTTTCAGGGATGAACTAATGGGGAAAACAGGTGGTAATACCTCATATAGGAAACAGTCTATGCGACATGAGAAAAAGGGGTCAGTTTGAGCCTAACACCATAGTCTCCAAATGTCTGCATTTTACACTGTTGTAGCCCTAGACCTGCTCTTCAGGCTGGCTCTTCCTATGTTGATCAGATCTAACAAACTTACAGAGAGGCTCTAAGGAAGACTCTAGAAGATGTAGGTCTTGGGGCAGGTGCACACTGCCTGTCCCTTTTTTGTCAAAAGTGCACAGAGCTCTCCTTCCACAATACCAGCATTTGATTAACAGAAGTGGAGGGAAGGAGCTGCTCAGCTCATTATTGCCAGGACGATGTGAGGCAGCAGGAAGAGGGGTGTGGTGCTGAGGTCAAGATGCACCATTCCAGGGCACATACCCAGGGACCCACTCCCCCCAACTAGGGCCACCTCCTACAGCTCCACACCTCCCGACACTCTACTCGATTGGAATTTCTCCATCGATTAATCCACTGGTAAGGTCAGAGCCCTCATGATGGGTTCACTTCCCAAAAGGCCCCACTTTTGAACACTGAAGCATTGGGGACCATCCATACAGGAGTGTTTAAGGGACATTCCAGTCCAAACCATAACACCCACAAACATGCAGTCATTATGTGTACATTAAATGCAGATGGGTGACAGTGGCCTGCTGTGATGTGGCTTATGAAAGGACCATCTTTCTCTCTCCCAGGGGCCCCTTGGGAGAGGTGTGAGTGTCCTAAAACATAAAACATGAAGGCCAAGAGTAGGATGCAGCTGTAAAACCTAATTTAAAACTAGCATTTCTGGGCTGGGGATCTAGCTCAGTTGGTAGAGTGCTTGCCTTTCATGCACAAGGCCCTGGGTTCAATCCCCAGCACCACAAAACAAATACCACCACCCCACCGCAAAAAATTATCACTTTTTTCCTATTACTGGAGAGACCTTGGGTCTGTCCAGAAGACAGAACTCTGTACTTTTTGTTAAGGGTGCTGTCACTTTTCTCTCGGGGGCAAAGGCCAGGCAAGTGTTTGCTGAGTGCTCTGGAGGTGTATTGGACTTCATAACGCACAGGGAGCGACAAGAGCTGTCCACCAGAGGAAGCCAGAGCAGGATGTGGTGGTGAGTCTGTGGCTGCAGTTCTAGAGCGTGTCACTCCCAGAGCGTGCCCGTGACGCTGTGATGGAAGAGCAGGAATGTGCAGTCGCGTTTCTTCAGGAGGACTTGGGTATTGCCTTAGTGCCTGCTGAAGGGGGAAAACACCGTTTCATGTTGGATAGCTTGGGCTGCAGCCCTGCAATGGCAGCACCAGGCTGGGATCTCACAGCTTCAGGGACAGCAAAGATGGTCATACTGTGTTGGCTGCCCTCACCAGGACAGGGCTCTGCCTCCATGCTCATGACACCCAGGAGGCACCTCATGTGTACAGTGGCTCCCTCCTTCGGCTACCCGTCCTGGGGCAAGGTGGGTTCCCAGACAGGACTTCAAACACCCACAGCCCTGGAATGGCTTCCCAGGCCCTACTGCAAGGGACATACAGGCTTGGGAAGTGCAAACCTGGAGGTGCAGTGTGTCTCCTCCTAGGTCAGCCTCTTCATGCGTCGGTTATGCTTGTCCACGGTCAGGGTCGCACGGTCCACGGCTGCTGTGATGCCACCCAGGGCCTCATCCTGCCGCTCTAGCTCCGTCTCAGTGTCCAGCGCCAGCCCCTTCAGCTTTGTCAGGATCTGGGGAGAAGTGCAGATAACACACAAGCAGCTTTCCTGAGGATGTTCAGGAGCACACACACCACTCACAGACCTCAGGAGCTGCATATGAATGCATGAAGTTTTCTGAGTTGATGGCAACAGAGCCCACAGAGCTAGTTCCTGAGCGTGGCCGCAGTATAGAGAACTCAACCCTGCCAGCAGCCAGCACACAGGACCACTTGGAGAGTTTTCTCTGTCTGCCCATGCCTCTGGCCTTGTGGGAATATCCTCCATGAACGTGGGTGCCTGGGTGTTGTGTCAGGTGGCTGGGAGTGTGGGGCTCAGTCCAGGTTCCTGGTCCCATCCAGTCACCATGTATGTTACCTGTCTGTGCCCATCTGGATGTGGATTAAACAAGACTTAAAAGGAAGAGCAGAGTACTGTTTTCCATGTGTAGAAGATGTCACACACAAATATAACAGGCAGAAAAAAACAAGTTCTGACATGTACCACACAGTGACTCTCCATCAGCAATGATGACAGTGGTCCCATGGGATGGTGACAGCTGAGAAGCCCTTGTCACATGATGCTGTAGCAACATCACCCTCTTCATATCTGTGGGCAGAGCTAGTGTGCTGCTAGCATGCAAACTGCAGGGCAAGTCATCGTGCCAGCACGTGACACTTAGTAATAACGACAACGGCTATGGTATGCTCTGGCTTATGCATCTACCACACCACACACTTCATGTTAGAGTGCATTCCTCCTACAAACAGTGTGCCGTGTCTTGCTGGCCACAACCTCGTGCACCTTGTTACTACCTCTTGGTGGCAGTGAGGCCACAGCAGTGACTGCTCCATATCTTCTAAGTGTGTGTAGGTCACTCTGTGACGTTCACATGAGGATGCAATTGCCTCACAGCATCTTTCTCAGATTATGTCCCACTTGTCATCAACAGGATGAGGAGCCTTAAAACACAAACCCACCAGAGTAGGGGCACCTGGCTGCACTGACCTGTGAGTGGGAGGTTCACTGAGCATGAGGGCCTGGGGACTGTAGGGATATGCACAGGTCACGGAGGAAGACTGCCTGGGCCACTGCTGGCCAGCTCCTGTGTGCTGTGACTCACGTCATGTTTCATGGAGTCTTGTTCCATCTCCATTCTGTGGACACTCATCACACTATGTAGCACTGCTGTTGACCTCATGCTTACAGAGTGCACTGGTCAAAACCTTGATAGACTCAGGCTGACAGCAGGAAGGAGAACATTTCAAAAGAAATAGTAATGACAACTACTTGAGATACACACAATCACCCGCTTTCAAGGGCAGTTTCAGAGCACCATGAGGTCACTGAAGAGGACCTGCAGGGCCTGATTCATAGGAGGAGCCCCTGTTGTACTGGAAGCCTCCCCAGAAGAGAGTTGTAGAAGATCCACTTACAGCACATTGAGTGTGCGCAAGGACTGCCTAGGTGGTGACTCTGGAGGGCCAGCAGAGCTCCTCTAGAGACTATGGCTATGCCTGAGGCCTTCCCAAGGCCCCCAGATGACACAGGTAGGAGCTCTGAGTCCACAGGGGTCTGGGAGCTCCTCTAGGGACTGAGGCTGTGCCTGAGGCCTTCCAAAGGCCCCCAGATGACACAGGTAGGAGTTCTGAGTCCACAGGTACCAGAGTGGGAAAGGCAGAGCCATCAGCACAGAGTTAGCTGTTACACCAGCAGGTGTCTGCAGGTATCTGGAGATGACCCAACAGATGCTCCATGGCCAAATAGCAGGCACTCAGGTTCTAGCATCATTAACCCCTTGTTCACAGGTCTGGCCTCTAAAGACAGGGAGACTTCCCTGTGCTCTGTGTCTGACCAACCAAAACAAAACAGGAAACAGGAGCCTGAGACAGTAAGACTCAATAGCTTCCCTGTAAGGTGAGGTTCGCATGAACACACCATGTAAATGAGCTCCACAGACTGAAGGTGACTCTGCAGATCCCAGAGGAGCCCGTCCTGAGCATGTGCATTCTGCAAGTGGGCTGTGACAAAGGGGCCATCTATCCCTCTCCAACATATAGTGCCTGCACTGGGCTCGCTGTCACGAGACACTGCTGACTGCAGATGGCCGCCCCAGATGAGCCTTCTCACTTCCTCTAGTAACTGGTGGAAACTCCATCAGGTGAGTCATTTCTTAGGAACTGGCCAGAGCTCTGGAAAGTATACTGTGGGGTCAGCTGGCTCTGGGGGATGGGCTGGATGACCTCATACAAAAGTAGGTCTTTTCCATCTCCTAGGCCTATGACCTCACATGGCGGATGCCCAGACTGCACATTAAAGAAGGAAAAATAAATCCCAGCCCACTGCCAGAGTAGATGGGCTCCTCCCTACCACTTTTCCTGGTCAATGACTTCTTTCTCACTTACCTCTACTCTCAGTGCAGGAGGAAGGTCACCTTGTCAGGAACTGACACAAAGGGTTGGCCTTTGCCACCCACCTGCTTGTCACTTGATGTCCCCAGACAAGGCCCTCAGCCGCCCACAGATGGATCACAAACAGCCCCTGGCAGTGTGTATGTAGTTTCTAGGTCCCAACGATCTCTCTGAAATGTGATTGAGTTTATGGCCACCCACTGTATAATGACGACTTAATTAGTGATAGGCCTATATATGACAGGGGTCCCGTAAGATCATATGGCCTGGTAACACAGTGGCCATCTGATTTTGTACACCTGATCTGTGATGCTCCCACAGTGGTGCACTTCTCTGACTGTGTCCCCGCTCTCAAGCAGATACAGGACTGTGTTGGAAGTGGAGATATACTATGGACTGCAAGGCTCTAAGCTATGTAACCTGACTTCTTTGCACATGAGCTGAGAGCTGAGCCTCTAGAAATATACCTGCACTGGAAGTCCAAGTCCTGGCTAGAATTCTTGGTACTGAGGCTTCTGCAGGCCACATATGGGTCCTATAATCCCTCAGCCACTTGGCTCCCTTTAGTGGAGATTATTGTTTGTCTTCTTATTGTAAGAATAGTATATGTAAAAAGAAAAAAGTTGAAGAAGGAAATAATTGTTCATGATCCAGATTATTGTCTGTCCCATTAGCATCCCTGTTCCCAAAATCCACAACCTGGACCTTCTGGCCTGAGGCCACAGTGCAACGTTCCATCCCTGGCTTTGTGAGACAGGCTGCAGCTGAAACACTGGTGCACCAAGAAACTGTCCTAGGTCACCTTCAGAATCTGTGTGTAAGGTATATGTGAGACAGAAATGGATTTTGTGTTTAAAATCAGTTCCCCATCTCAAGAGAGCTCATTATGGCTATGCAAATATTCACAGTCCTGAACAATCTGAAACGCATAGGACTCTTGTCCTGAGTACTTCAGAGAAGGGTGCTCAGCCTGTGTAAATCATATCTTTTTCCCATCACCATATTCATATGCCCCCACAATATCCAGGAATATGGGATTAGAGTACACACAGTTTTGTTTCCTGTCTTTTTCATTCCCTAGCCATCCTGAATAGAAGCTCATAGTTAGGAAACCCAATGTCAGGCACCCAAACATTGTTTCAAGACTTCACATGTATCATCTGAGATAATTCTCAAACAAACCTATTTTATAAATGAGGCCAAGAAAGGCTGGACACTGGCTGGAACTCTGGGGTGCACTGGATCCAGGCTAAGCCAGTTCTAGAAGAAGCAGAAACACCTTTCTGACATCAGATTCAGAGGTCTGATGATGCACACACAAAAACTGCATGTTCAGAAACTGCATGTTCCTGAAGAACACAGTGTAGACCTCACCAGGGGTTGGCAGGAGGGAAAGAAATGTCTCAGGGGTACTGGGTTTCAGGACCCGTGCTCTTGTCCATAGCCCTGAGCATTCACAAAAGCTCTCTGCTGAAAGGCGAGCTCAATAAGCAACTATAGATTTTTAAATACCCACATAATAAGGAGAAAAAAAATAAATATATCCCCAATACTACATTTCAAAATGAAGTCAATAAAAGCAATGATTGATTATGTTTAGTATTTTAGTTCAAAGAATGTGTATAAAGTCCTGCTATGTCAGTGTGAATGTTAGACTTAACACATATTTCAACTAGGACAGACAGGTGAACGCTGGATACACGTGATACGAGATCACAGGACCACAGGACCATCCCTCCAGAGGACCATCTCATCGACAGACCCTGTGTGGCCAACACTTATGTCTCCATCATCCTCACATGACTCTGCCCACAAGGACTGTCTCCACGTTAGACTTCCATCTCCATCTTTCTGAAAGGAATCAACTGCCTTGTTCCTATGCACAGTGAAACTGTGGCAAAGGTAAGAATATATATATATATATATTCCTTGATCTTTGCCTATTAAGCAAATTAATATATGCACCTATAATTCACCAGGGGCCAAAACCTGCTGACCACCTGTAAAATTTTGGGCATTTTATTACATGAAATACAGAGTAGTTTCATTCAACTTTTGACTTGGAAAAAAATCTCACTGAATTTTAAGCCTAAATAATAGAACTCATTCCAAATGGCCTGTTAAGACCCTTGCCCTGTCTGCCAAAAAATGCACTTGGAAAATAATTAAATATTGCAAATTCAAAAGAGATCTTTATATAGTTACTATGTATGCAGACAAAGAAAATTACCAAGTTAACCTTCAAAGCATTAGTACCTCTGGAATATTGGTAGCCTTTTTCCTTTAAGAGAGGGACTGAAGTAATTAAACAGCATCGTGTGCATTCCATATAACAGGATGGAAAGAATGGAGCTCATGAAGTCTGGCCAAACCTTAAAAACAGTTGTTCCCTCTGTGGCTCAGGATGACAAGCTGTCTAGTCATCCATGTTAATGTTGCCAGCCGCTGAAATAACCAGGGGCCTCTCCGATGAGCCCTCTCTGGTTGTGAGTCAAAGACCAGGCTCCAAACAAACACGTCCTCAAATCCCTGCTACACAAACAAAGTAACCAGGCAGCTTTACCTACTCAGAAATTAGCTGATTGGAAGTGCTTTAATTTTGGGGAGAAAGAAACATATAGC